CCCCCCCCCCCCCCCTGCCCCCCTTTGGCAAAGTAGGAACGAACTATTCGCCATCGGTGAGCGGTCCTGTGGGAACAATGCTCCGTCCTCTCGAGGACGCCTGGTCAATGGTCTAACCACTAAGGCATACAAAACATGAGTACGCCCTTTTTTTGTCATCACTTGAAAGCAGTGCTCATCGCATGTCTACCTCCGTAAAAAAAAGTCGCGTATATTCAATCACAACGAAATGCAACGCATCAAACATCTACAGGACAACGCTGTGGGTGTTCACGTTAACGTTAAAGGCCTTCCTTGCCAAAGGAAAAGTAAGGTGCCGGCATGAAAGTTGGAGCGAACACAGCAGTTGGGTGAACTGCTTTGATAGGGCAGTCATTCGGGTGGAATCTCTTGGCCCAGCGTAGGTTCATATAACAATTAGGTTAACAGTGCTTGTACTTTGAGCGGGTGCCTGCTATTGTGTTGGGAGGGTGAATCGCCCGGCACAAAACTTAAACCCACATTATTGACGGACGTCGGCCACCGTGGACACAGTAACAATAGATACAGATGCACCAACACTGTTTTTTTGTGTTTGGTATCGTGAAGAAAATGTAGCCACATGACGCCATGGTCATGTCCCTCTCGCTCCTCCGAGCAGCCGCAAAACGAAACAGCAAGTGACAATCACGACAGTTACAATCACGACAGTGACAATCACGACACGATACCACGCCAACACACCTTGAGGTCGCTGGCGTTAAGAGCCCCGTTCTTGTCCTTGTCCATCACCTCGAAGGCCTCGAGGATAACCTGGGCCCGCCTCTCGTTCAACTCTCCTCGCACGGCGAACAGGAACTCGTCGTAGCTGACAAAGATACGCACAAGTGCAAATAAAAGTAAGGACAGGCGAACGGATGAGATAAGATGCCAAACGATCGTGTTGTCGCAAATATATACTTGGGTTATATTGGCATCGATCGTCGGAGTTGAATTAGGTTGGAGGGACTTCGAAGGGGGGTCCGTGGAACGGAACCCTACCGCCTAGTGGTGGCGGGTCCGCGGGATAGAACAGAGAAAGATCGCAGGGCTCTTCGCAACCACCTTGACGCCTTGCGGTGGGGGTATCGTGGGGAGTGGAAGCGCTATGACCTCATAAAGGCGTTACTAGGTCATGGCGTGGGCAGCGCGTAACAAAGAAACACGATCGGTGCATGTGCCTACCTGACTCTCACACACAATCTTTCAGTCGTACAGCAGTACTCTAGCGACCACGCAACGGAAGGGGGGGGAAATAACGCAACTCCGACATCATAACTGCAGAGGGTCGTTACTTGCCTAGTTCTCATGTCCGCCTACAGAATGAGATGAGAATAACAAAGGCGGGTCGGTGTAAACTACACTTGTCATCTCGCTGCCAGACAAGACTCTACAATGTATGTGGTGGTGGCACGCACGCATGTCAACGGCAAAGCCTACAAGCACCAAGGGATCGATGTTGCCGTAGGGATCGGTGACAGAAACCACGGGATCTAGCTAACTCGAGGCCCATCTTATCCCGCGCCTACTTCTCTCCCTTTTAAGGTGCCAGGTCCACCATGATTGGATTTGGGCACACACGGAGTTGAGGCACCGTAAGGCGAGTCCATCTACCGCACGCTTACGTTTCCAAGTTCGTGTCTCACCAGCATACTCCTCTCATATCTCAACCAATCCCATCATCACACGCCTACGTACGTGCTTCGAAGTATCTCACAAGCTTGCGGCAACTATCTCATACAAAGCATCTCACTCGATGGTGTCTGAGCCGTCGGTATCGAAGTGCTCGAACACGTTCTTCAGCTCGTCCTCTGTCCAGTCCATGTGAGCGTCGCGCATGCACACCTGGAGAAACCAACCAAAACACAGTAAACAATGGGCCAATCAGTACCAAGAGCCCGCGGTGGTCTAACGATCTGACGCGAGGTTGTCCGGCTAACCTAGAACCTGCGTGGGGTTGTTGGCTAGTTAGTAGATCATTTGGCAAGCTCTAGCTCTAAGTTGAAACGTTTTTCATACATGCGCTACACCTCGCGGGGAGCCGCATGGCTCACCTACTTGACGGATCTCAACACAAAAAAACGACATACATACAACATGTACCTGGAACTCGTGGAAGCTGATGGTGCCCGACTTGTCGTCGTCCGAAAGCCGGAACCGCCTCGCGAGACCAAACATCCCGCTGGACCGCATTAACACATGTACAATAGATGTGCAGGCGAGAGCGATGTCATGAACGGACACGGGAGGGAGCAAGCGGAATCAAGTCAGCCCGAAAACATGCCACGAGTCTTGGACGATGTCAATAGCGACTATGTATCGTTGAATGCATACAGTAGTAGAGCTGGCGCACTGTAGATTAATTGGTGGGTCGAGCCGCGAGGCAAGCATCGTGCCTTGGTGAAGTGTGGTGCTGCCATGGAGTCATGACGAGCACGGTCTACAGCTCTAATTCGCACTTGTCCGTGCCTCCGTAGGTTGCCCCATGCAGCGCAGGTCAAGTCAAAAGAAACGTACAACAGTCAAGCATCCACGGAGCGGGCCATATCTCGCCACCGCCGACAAACAGCAACCAAATATAACTCACTGACTTTTTTACTCACGTCGCACCGTGGGCCTTGAGGGAGGTCTTGAGGCCGAGCAGAAGTGAGGTGAGGTCCGCTGGCACCGCGCGTGTCTGCCCGAACACGCTCGACCTCCGCTTGGGGCCAAGGGGGAGACCGCGGCTGTTGGAAGCGACCAGGCCGCCGCTGTTGCCTAACGCGGGAATGGCGCGCGAGACTGCAGCGGGGGGGGGGGGGG